ACGGAACCAATATAAGTGATCAAATCCTACTTGCAACTAAATGCAATCCAAAAGTGCATATGTGCATGAACGTTAATAAATACACGTGTCATATAAATATGGTGAAGGTACGAATATAAAACTGATAGGTTAAATATGATAAGTTAAATAAGTTAATGAATAATGCATATGTGTGCCATATAGTGAAAATACAATGTGGATACTAAATGGTTGAATTATAAACCAGGTAAATTGATCAGTCTGGCAATCGGCAACAATAGATAAAAAGGACAATAATTTGAAGGAAGACTGATGTATAACCAATCTAACAAATCTAAAACCACATCTAATAATATAAAGTGAATAAATATAGGTGGATAAATATAAAATTGTATAAGCATTTAGTTGCAAGTAGGATTTGATCACTTATATTGGTTCCGTTTGTGGTATAAATATAGCACGTATCACAATACCAAGCGCAGCACACTGGTTCACAAAAAATCATATTAATTGGTATAATGAATGCAATAAATACAATAAAACTGTCTAAATACAACTGAATTTTAAAGACTGGGGCCACTTCAATAAGGTGGTGAGTTTGTTTGCTAAGACATCTATTAGCTTGGGAAATTCAGCTGCTCCATGCAATAATACCTTACCCTGTTCCTGCCCCGACATGATGGTTTGGATGTTCCCATCCATACTGTTGCATTTTTCATGATGTAAATTATTTTTAAAAAATAGATCATAGAAATTAGCATGTTTGTAGTGGTGTTTCTAGGTTTTGTCATTTAGATGGTTAGTGAGATGTATATTTTAGTCACATTTGCAATTTATACTGTATATATTGTGAGTGGTATCACATTTGCTTGTCTCTGGATTTATGGATGCACTGTATATGAATAAGTATTTACATGATCATATAAGACATTGAAAGAATTTGATCAAAGAGGATAATAAGTGATCATAATCATGCATTTGAGTGGATTTTAGTATATGAAATATATGCAAATCACTAGCAGGTTACGTTTAATTCAGTTTTACTGGATTCATGAAATATTCTATCATATAATTGGATAAACTGATAGTATGTTAATATGTTTTCCTTTCCATATGTATAATACATTAAAACTATGTATATTCCATACTTTATTTTTTAGCCACATCACATTGTATTTTATTGAAGATATTACAGCTGTGTTTTTTGTACAAAGCAACTTTGCAGAGATACAAAATAAAGTTGTAGGTAACAGAGGAAGGACTGAACAAATATTAGCTTATATGTAAGGCTGCACAAAGGCAATGTAGGAATATATAGGAGTTGCAGGGCATCACTGACACAGAACCGTTTTCAACTTTAGCATTCCTGTCCTCATTTTGCAGTCCAAGTTTGAACTTGATCAGTGGGTCAGTATAGAACAGTTTTTTTATTTAAACAAGGCGCAGCAGCAGCCATGATCTTGGTATAAGTACTTCAGGACCAGAAAGTATATATATGTTCTGCGGTCTTTAAGTAGTTAAGGGACACAGAATCAGCACAATTCTGAGACAACTGGGTTATACTGCTGGCCAAAAACACTGGCCAGCAACGTACAACCCCTCCCACACCCAGGGGGGACCTGTGTCCCTTAATTCAAGAAACAGATTTTTCTGGTGCATACAAAAATCCTGCTTTCTTCATCGTTCATTAAGTGACACGGAAATCAGCTATTATCACTTGGTTACGAGGGAGCATGGAACCAGCTTCCCAGCCAATCAGGAAGCCGGGCAGCATGTAATGACTCGCTGCACGGCTTCCTGATTGGTCAGGAAGCTGGCCAATCAGAAAGCCGGTTGACGAGTCATTACCCCCAGAAAGCTGGCTTCATGCTCCCTCATCACCTGGTGACGACGGAGGATGGAGCTGGCTTCCTGGCCAAGCAGGAATCCAGGCAATGTGTAATGAAACATTTTACCCACATCAAGCACAATTCCTACACTTGTATGAAGACATAGAGTGTTTTTAGATCCCGGGTAATACTAATGCCTCCTTTGGCTTTGGGAACGATGAACGGGTTTGAGTAGAAACCTTGAAACCATTACACTTCTGGAACAGGGGCAATCATATCTTTGGAGAGCAATTCTGGCAAATCACAATGAAGGACTGTTAGTCTTTGCAGAGAGGTTGGCAGAGTTGACAGCATGAAGTGGGGCAGGGCAGAGATTGAAACTCAAGTTTGTAGGACCTGGATACCACATATTTTACCCATGCATCCGAGATGTTTGTGGTCCACGTTGGCAAAGACTAACAGATGTCCCCCTACTTGGAAAAGTGTTGACATCTCCTCATCAAGAGGGAACCTGGGGGAGGGAGGGGGAACAAAGATCTGCAATGGAACTGGATCCTTAATTTAGACTTAAAAGCCTGCGAGAAACAAAAGGAACTCATTAAACTTCAGAAGAAAGAGGTTTTCTAAACTTGGTTTATTTTGCTGGGGCAAAGGGGTGCTCTTGCCTGTGGTGGCATCTTTGAAAAAGTTGCCCAGGAAGCCACCAGAAAGACGTTCTCCATCAAAAATGTATATGCAGAATGCGTTGCTCCACAAACCAACATTTCAGATAACAATTATAATAATAAAAGACAGGAGACTTATTCTGGATATGAGACATACAATATCCATTAACCCGCCAACACAATAGTGCAAAGCAGAAGTCAAAAGCTCTAAACACTCCAAAACCAAATGATCAGTAAAGATAGTTTCAGGTTTTCTTTGCCTTTCATACAAAACCCCAAAATTTTCTGCAATTTTTTCCTATTGGTTTGATTTTCAACTGCTGCGTTGCTAGCGTTTGTAAAAGACCCCCCAACAACAACTGGTAAATGGAGTGTTTTCAGACACAGGTTGCTCCAGTTGTAAATGATTGCACTGCGTCAAAAAGAACACATATGTTTCCTCTAAGTCTTGGAGCTATGCCAGCAGATTGACTCTCCCCGGCCACAAACTGTTCCAAAAAGGATCTGTGAGACTCGTCATCATACTCAAATGAATGTGCAGAGGCAACTACAGCTGCAGGAAAATCAGAGGCAGACTCTGTAGGAGAAGGTACAGAAATACACTTACGGACCCCTACATTCTGAATTTGCGAACATGGCCATGACTGTGTTCATAAAATCTAGCATGTCTGTAGAAAATTCCTCCCTGGACAATACAGAGAAGGATGTCATGTATGAGAGAGCTAGGGGAGACTGTGAGAAGCGTGTGGGCTCAGGTAGGAGACAACAATCCAGGCTGTTAATGTCAGGTCCTTGAAGGGGACTACCTCAGGCCATCCAGGAGCTGTTAGAGGATTGTGAGCTGGAGAGGCCCGCAGGACCACTTCCTTTGTGCTTATGATCCAGCATACTGCATGTATGGTAATGTGTGGGAACACCAAGGAGAACTTGGATACTCACAAACAACTGCAGAAGCAATAAAGGTTACACTATATGGCTGGAGGTAACCTTATCACTGCTAAGCAGCGGCAAGGAGAAACCAAAGTAGGAGCAGTGTCCCTTGAAAGGAGAGCAGTGGCAGGAACAGAAAGTGTAAGTGCATGCATGACACAGCTGTTTGTGATAAGTGGGGCTTTATCACATCATAACAACTCCAATGGTTGGAAGGGAATGAACCACAAGGTTTGTAGAAACTGAAGGCTACTAAACCAGAATCTTCCTTAAAGGAGAACTATGAGGTGAGTGCTTTTCACTCACCTCATAGTTCTAGCCGACCTGTGACAAGGCAGGGTGAAAAACAACACCCACACAAAGGGTAGGCAGGGATGAGTGTATACCATAACCCAGACTGACGTGCCAGAATGCCAGGATCAGGAAGCAGGGTTCTTTCCCAGTAAACCCATGGTTTTGTTCAAGGGGTGTGACAGAACACAGAATAAACCTGCTTAACCAGTTACCCACTATATGATTCTAAGAATCATATAACTTATCCCTGAATGGAGTAGCATCCTACACCAAGGAGCGAGGTGTAGGAATCCTAGTGCTACTACTAGGCACATTTTACGTATTGAGCATAGGAGAGAAGAAGCAATCTCAGGAGATCTAAAGGATCCCCAGACTTAGACAATCCCCTATAGAGGAAATCTGCAGCAGGGTCCCATTACATCCTGTCTGCTGACCATCTAGAGAAATACAGGATCGTCCAGTGATGGATATTTCCCTTTGAACAAAAAAATATATAT